GCTATAATACTTATTTCTTCCCCAGTTCTAGTCTATGTTTTTTGACGTAAGATGGATTTCGACTGAGCCGTACTGCGCTAGCATTACGTCAACGCATTTGCGTCAAGCCACAGAGCAGCTTGACGCATTTTTATGATCATTGATGTGTTTTTCAATTTCCGGAAAAAACCCAAGGGCATGAGAGCAGGGTGAAGCTGCTCAAGATGAACTTACGAAAAGTGTTCAAAAATATCAAATCTGTTGGATCGATACAGAACGCTTGCAGTTGTCTGTAGATTTCGTGGATTGTCGGCTGATCCATGTGATCTTCATCGGACCACACGTACACCCTAAACAATTCAAATACTGAAACCTTACACAAATATAGCCGTTCCCCTTATTGTGCATAATTTTTTATAATCTTATTTCCACAGCAATACCGTAACACCAGTTCACCTTGCGTAACGGAGAATCACCGGAAAGACCGCAGAAATTTTTAATCAATACAGTTGTGAAGGATCTTACCGTACTCACAAGGTGGGCGGAGCGATACAGTCGAGCCATCATTAGAAAGCAGGATCACGTCGGCTGGAGGGCGGTTCGGTTTCGTAACGTCATTGAACATCACTGGTGGTCTAGACCCCTCAGCGCGCTAGGCACCCGACAGGAGGCCCGTCTCGTTATGAAAAGGCAGACACGTAGGCGAGTCAGCGGACGAGTCGCAGCGCGTGCTGAGCAATGTGAACGTACTACAGTACATTCTATTCAACTTGACGCCAAATCGCTACAGTACGCGCTGCGACTCGTCCGCTGACCACGTCTAGGTCTCTGCTCTTGCTGCGCGACGGACCTCCCTTCATGTACTCTGGTGCGCTAGGGATGTGGTTGGGACCACCCCATATCTGCCTTCCACCAATGACGCTTAATGACGTAATCAAAACCGCACCGCCCACCAGCCATCGTGATCGTTGTCTCTAAAAATCCCTCTATGGAAGAATCACGCATCCAAATGCTTCTAATACGAATTAAAAACTAGCGAGTGGCATATTCGAAAGACTAGCCAGAAAATATATTTTCTAAAATTATGGTATTTCAGGCAAGTTGCATATCCAAACCTCCACGAATCACATGCACCGTCTTCACCGATCAAATAGCAATGTATCGAAATATATTCATCGCCATTCTCCCATATAATTGTGCCGGACCCTGAAATGTCTCCTTGGAAGCCTCGGAATTATTCAAGTTTTTAGTAAAGCGTAATGTACATACAGTCAATTGTGGACTCATTTCCAGTGAGACGAGTGAAGTTGGACAGCATGTTGAGAGACGATTCACCGTTGAAACTCTGATGAAGCTGTGTTTTGAAGCAGGTGTTTTGCCTTCAAAACAAAAAAGCTTTTCAAAGCTGAAGGAAAAATAAATAAATAAATAAAAGCTTTCTGGTGACCACCACAAATACATACAATATGAGAAAGGTGATGGATAAATGACAAGTTCAAAAGTTTGTGATTTTCTAGAGAAACCAGAGAAATGGCTCTGCGCAGCTGATTTCACACTGGAATTAGTCTTGGCAAACACCCCGAATCAACCTTGTCCCCAGCCAAAGAAACCTTCCTTTTCTATGAAGGTAAAATTATGAACCTGACTAATTTGTACTAATGGTAGGGATATCAGGCGGGGGATTTTCCAAAATGCAAGTAGAGTAGTAGAACAGATGGGTGCCTGCTTTACGGTTCTGGATTTTCAAAAGATGTTCTTAATCTGATTACAGTTTGCAGTAAGATTTTTGTAAGCCTATCATCCTTTTTTTATCAATGAGTTTATATTTCAACTTGCAGCAGCTTTTTTGCCCGAACGCAGTGGACATTTTCCAAATATGCCGTTTCATCTACAACTTATTTTTGCCCACCCTATCACGTTCCAATCGTTCTCTTCCTCTGTCAATCCTACCCAACCGGAGCGGATTTTAGGGATCACCTGGTGCACCACCTGTGATTCACTGCCGCTCCCATGCATAACCTTGCATAGTTATTTTCTATGCAGCGTGAAAAGCACTCATAGGTGGTGGTTTGTTTGAATGTTTCATTTTTGATGAGTAGTGTCTTAATAGTGGATATACCAATAGGTCGCATGCTATCGATCGATATCGATTAAAAATAGTTATAAGTTCAGTGGCAAATTCCGATCACTTTGGTACTTGTCACAACTTTATTTGTTTTTATTGAGAAACACTCATTCAGAGAATGCTCCACCCACACGCAGCGGTCCGCCAGGTTGACTTTTTCAACTCAACTCAACTCGGTGCCACCTTTACCCATTTTTCCCGATCTTTGGGCCGCACCTATACCCAAACCCAAAGGCTTCTGCCGTCAGCAGTTCCTAATTCAACGCAAGCCCCGTCCACTGTGGACGGAATTTCCCATGGTCTGTTTCTGCCCCGCATAGCCTGACTCTTCTCTACTCATCCCAAACTTGACTTGGACTCTGAAGGTGGTTCCTTAGATAGTAGGGACAGGGATATCATTGCTGCATATAGACCATAATTTGTTTGTGTCTCCCCGTTGAGGTGGTTGTCTCAAGTTTGGGCAAGTTTGGGATGAGTTAAACATAAGAGACATGAGAGCTTGGGTCAACCTGCTTCTGTGGCTGGCTATTTGATGTGACAATACATTTAAAGGAGGAATTCACGATTAGAATGAAGGTCGAAGAAGAAGAAATTGACCTAGTTGAGGGACCCACGGACCTCCTGAGGGTGCGAACTGACGCGCAATTCGCATGGAAAAATTTGACCTCGGCGACCTATCATGCCTCAAAGTTGGCGGGTCCGGCGATCTCCGCCCACCGATCATCTGATCACTCGCCGCAGTTCTATACGTGGCGAGTGATTAGATAGCTGAGAGAGCGTAGTGTTGAAGAGGGCACAGCGATGAGAGTCGCATCAATGCTCAAATCAACGGGCAAGGAAGGGGTCCCATTTCTCGGGTTCTGGGCCGTTTCTCATGGTTCTTCCTTCTTTCGTGTACCACTCACCATCCCTAAGTTGATTTAAAACTTTTCAACACAAAGTCACCAAGAACTGGCTGTCGAACGGGAATATGTATTCCAATTGAAACGGGAAATTCTCTACTCAGTCCTTCGCCCCGAAACAAAATACATAAGCAAACCCCTTTCTCGCCAGGCTCCTCAAATTCGAGCCCCTCCTCGAGCTTTTAACTCCACCACAATACCAGATAACCCCTCCCGAACAACGCTAATACCACTCCCTTAACTAACCAGGAAAGGTCATTAGGCCAACCCGGCCAAATGAAATGAGGTGCACATTTCTGTACGCAACATGAGACGCTGAACTCAAATCTGCTTTCATTATCTGCTGAACTCTTCTCTGAAAGGAGTTACGGAGGGTTTTTGTTGCCGCCCTTGATTTTCAGTGTCTTGCCTGCAATCACATGTTAGCCGCATTATAAAAGTATCGAAAGGAGAACCGAGGCACCATGAGTGAGCTTCGGTAGCGCAGTTGGTAGCGGTCTTGCTTCTCAAGTAAGGGGTCGCGGGTTCGGTTCCTTACGGGGTTTGGTGTTTTGCTTTTTTTCCAACATGGCTGAAAAGCCTTTTTGAATCTGTTATTTTACCAACGGTCGCCCGACGCTACATCTACGAAGAGTTTGCAAGCAGACCCTCTTAAACTTAAGCACTACTTGTCTGTGAGTGCCCATGGTGCCCGTAGTGCAGGTGCTATGCTTTTCCGTGGCAAGTAGGTACGATATTCGTATTCAGGGGATCAAACTACCCCTAAAACGAGTTTTTCGCCAAATCTGAGGTGACGAACTAATTGAGAAAAAGCGGAGCAGTGATGGGATTACCACTCCTCAAAC